GCCCGCGCCCCCGCCCGCGCCCGCGCCCCGGCCTGCGCACCGCGAACGACGAGGCGGCGCGGTGGCGCTCACGCGTCACCCGCCGGACGGGAGGGGCTCGCTCACCCGCTCGACGCGATCACCCGGGTGGCGCGCCACGCGATGGCCACCTCTTGAGCACAGAGGGCAGACCGCGGGTGGTGAGCGAATCACCCGTCACTCACCACGCGGGAGCTCGTATTTTGCGGTGAGCTACTCACCGTCTCTCCCAACTGTCCGCTCGCTGTGCGTTTCCTTTTGCAACGTGGCTCAGATCACCCACCCGGTGCGTGATCTTTACCTGGTGCCTTCAATTGTTCTTTGCGCAACTCTGGATTACTGTTGTCAGAACAAACGATGAACGACTTTACTCACGTGCGTTCTTCAGTTGGTCTTTGTCAACTGTTGCGTACTTCAGAACATCTGTTGATCACGCATCAACAAGAAATCGTGAGTTTGTTCGAAACAGTGCGAATTGAAGTTTGTGTTCTGCGAACGTGAGACGTGAAATATTAAAGTAATGTTTGATTGTTGCTTAAATATTTAATTTCATGAGTTTTTTCACATGTATTTTTCAGTAATTTCTGTTCAAAATTTTGATTACTTGGGTAGTAGGCCAAATATTGACAAAATACTCGCTGTTTTCTTCCTTTATATATTCTTCTCTTTTCCTTGTAATGCCACGTAATATCTTACGTCTCGTACAGTCTGCTCTGTTACAGCGTTTTCCGCACACCTAACACAACGGCCGCAACCACAAACACTTTCAGTCGCTCCGTCACAGTTGCGAATCGGGCACTCCGCAACTCGCAAACTTTTCTCTCGAATGTCCCTCGCCCCCACAATCGATCTTCTCGAATTCGTCGACCCGCCGTCGCGCGCAGCGGGCGAGCTCCACAAGACCGCGCCACAGGAGGAGAAAGAGCGGTCCAGAAGTCGACACCCCACGGAGGCCCCGACTCGGGGTGTAACGCAGGGGCTAATGACAGGGCACCGAGCACTTGGGGCACGTAGAGCGTGAGGGTGAGAGAGAGAGGGGGTGATTGAATGGTGGAGGAGGGGAGATGGAAGAGAGGTGGAAGAGGAGGATGGGGCGGTCGGGTTTCTACCTGCAGCCGCGATTACCCGAAAACGCGCCGCCCTCACGCACCGTGCGTACGCGGGAGCCACCCCTAATTCAGAGCCATTTGCTCGCAAACGCTGCTAATTGTGGGCGAATTGATCGAATTTACCCCGGCGCGCGAGTGCTGCGCGTGTATGCGTGAAAGCGCACGCACCGCCGGCGCAGCAGCGCACGGTTTTGCGCCGCGAATCGTTCCGCGCTGCGGACAGCACCACCCGCTCTAGGAGCGCAGTGCAACGGTCAGCTCTTTTCCACGACTCCGTTTCTTGGAGGCGTGACGTGGAAATATTGTCGGTTGTTTATGAGTAGTCTTTTTTTCCCTCTGTATTTCGTTCTTCACTTTCTGGCTTCACGTGATGAGTAACTCACAGCTTCCAAAGGTGATTTCCCCAGTGACGTCACCGACCGAGTCACGCCCGTGTCACGCCGCCACGTGGTTAGGTCTGGTGGAGAGTGTTGTTAGTTTTTCGAAGACGTGATTTGTCTCGTGGAAACGTGATTTGTGGTCGCGTAGCCCAAAAATGAACACGTGGGAGTGTTTTGCTCGTTGACAGAAAGTTTTCGAAACCGAAGAAGAAAAAACTGTTCTTGAGAGGTTGGCGGAACGTGCGTTAAACACGTGGCATACACAAACACACTTTCTGCTATGTAGATGAAACGGGTACTCGACGGGTACCACTCGGAACAAACAACAGAGTTCGGATATCACTCAACAGTCCGCACAGTAGTCCCGCGTCACGTGCTTTTCACTCTAACCGCAAGTCCATGACACGGAGTGTCCGCGAAAAAAGAAAAAAAACAAAACAAATCCACACGGCACGAAAATACAGTCAACAACGAAAAAAACGTTCACTCACGAAGAGGCTCCTGCGACGTCACGGAGCGGGGCGACGGGCCCGCTGAATCCACACACACACAAACACCTCCACGCCTCCACGCCGTACGGCCTGTCTCGCAGCGGCGACGGGTCCCTC